ATCTTAAATAAAATTATACATTAAAGCGCTCTGTTAAACACAAGCAGTGGTTCTTTAAGTGACACATTAGAAAAGCATTGCTATAAATTCTAATTTTCTGAAAAATTCAACATCTGTTTTAGAGACTTTACATAAACCTTACACAATCGACCTGCTGACAGGTACTTACTATCTTTTTACGCCTGACAACTTTTTTGGAGATGAATTCGATGTAGAAATCGAAGGAAGCTATAATGTAAGAGAAGCCTGGACTATAGCGACAAACGTCTCTCAGCAGCTTCATTACATTGATCAGCGACAGTTTGGTAAATACGTAATACTTCAGGGAAGGTAACAGAAACTTTTATGTCTTACAAAATTAGTCAATTTATAAATTTATAGTAATTTGTGCAAACTTATTAAAAGTTAAGAATTAGGTGAAAATAACTTTTTTAGTTTGACTGCATACTTTCTAGAAAGATGAAGCTCAGTTTTTAACTCGAGTACCTTTATTCTTAGTTAAGTTCTGCGGTTTCTATTTCTAACGTGTTACGTTACGGAGACTGCGGTAGAGACGATAGTGTAGTAATCAGTGCGTTTGTCGAAAACGTGATATCTGAGTTGCAGTACGTTACTGGAATAATGTGTACGTCCTGCGTCTATTGTTTTCTGAAATTACGGTATATTTCAAAAATTTTTTTGAAAAAAGTCATACTAGATTAACAAAAGAACTTATTCTCAAGTGCTAAAATTGTAGCGCCACACTGCTGTTTGCTTCAATTAAAAACATTAAAAACATATTGGTGATGAGTTGACCCCGAAACACTTCTATTGACAATGGGAACGCTGGTTTACGAAACCTATACTCCGACTTTTTCTATGCTGGAAAGCAGTTATACTATTATAGGATGTACATTTATAATTTTAACAATACCTTCTTATGGTTTCTGGCTAAAGGCCAGTATACTCTTTACGTATATACATCTGGAAATAACTTTGTTTCCGGTTATACACCGCGTATCTCAGGTACCTTAGAAATTTCTGGAAATCAAATGTACTTCTACATTTGTACGAATTCCGAAACAAAGCTGAAATTATGTGTGAATTTAGAGGGAAAGCAGTTATAATGAAAGTATGGAAATACTGTTAAGATATAGTACAAAACTATCAGCTTGTGTTGTAATTATAAAACTACTTGTAATATTTTGCTACTTATTTTATCAGTGGCAGAAAAGCATAAAACTTTGCGTTCTTGAGCTATTCTTTTCAGTACTAATATTTTTCAAAATTAAGAATTATTTGAAATTTACAGTATTACAAAGCTTTTATAGTTCTTTTTGAAAGGCCAACAACGTCAAGCTCTCCAACGACAACAACGACAAATTCGACAACGACAGCAACATAGCAACAGCAGCAGTGACGTCAGGAGCGACACCTTTGGTAAATCCTTCGAAGACGAGTGGAGCAACAAGTTCGATACAAATCACTCAGTTTTTGAAACAGGAAGAAATTATGCTAACTGCTTTGTTTTGTTTTCCTTGTATATTGTTTACATGCTTGTGGTTTAATTTAATCCAGTTTCACCAAAACTAAGTTCTATTCAGTGTAGCTTTCTATACCAGTACTACCGGATGAGAAAATTGAAGCTCTAAATTCTGCAATAATAAAAGTTAGTTTGTACCAAAAATATTATTCTTGATGAATCTTTTTTGAGTGTTAGAAAAAAAAATATAGCTACACAATTTTGAGTAAACAAATAACGGTTAATATTTAGTATTAAAGCAATTATTAATTATTGTCATAAGCTTGCTATATTTGAAACCCGTCTAACATCTTAGAACAATATTTTTACAAAATTGAGATTTTAATGAGAAGATAGATATATAAAATCTATAATCTAAATTCTTGTTCTTAGTGAATATTAGGATTTATTACAAACTTTTACAAGAATGCTTTTAAGCTTTTAAGAAGAATATCATTATCTAGTTTAGATAGAGAAACAGTGACTAATTCCTTTATAAAAAGCAGCTTCAGCACTAGCACGCCGAGCTTGAGCTAAGTTCTTAATTACCTTGAAATTCTACTGTAAAAAAAACCTTGCTTAAATTTTACTCTTTTCCAGCTATGGCAAACTTCTTCTTTTCTACAGTATCTAATTTTTATTAAAGTTTCTTCTGATGTTTACTAGACCAAATAATACGTTGTAAGTGCGGTGCGGTAATGTCTCGTTTTTTTTTTTTTTTTTTTTT